TGTATTTGGTATTCTTCATATTTCCTATATCTACTATCTGTTATTCATATTTCCTAGCTCTACTATCTGTATGTTTCTCTCAATTTGGAAAGTTTTCAGGTAATATTTTATCAAAAAGATTTTTCAATACTTTCACCAGTACCTTTGCCTTCTGGAATACCCACTGTGCACATACCCAGGTGTTTGTGTCTAGTATTTCCTGTATCTATTTTTGGGGGGGTTATATTTTTCATTCACCTTTTTTGTTTGGACTGTCAGCGGCTTTGTCTTCCAGGTCAGAGATTCTTTCCCATGGATGGCCTAATCTGTTAAATCTTTCAAGGGAGATTTCGATTTCTTGTGTTATCTCCAATTCTGTTTGATTCTTTTTTAGGGTATCTTTTTATGGAATTCCTCCTTCATGTCATGGAATGACTTTCTCATCTCCTGGAATTGATTGTACTCCCTTGCATTTTACTGAGTTTCATCATGACTATCTTGAATTCTTTTTCAGGCATTTCCATGAATTCATTTGCATTGTCTTTTGTTGGGGACAAGTTATTGTGCTCCTTTAAGAGTTATTACCTTGTTTTTTACTTTTTTGTATGTTTCTGTACTGGTTTTCAGGAATCTGTTGAAGTACTCTACTCTTCCTAATTTTTGGAATGGGTTCTATAGTACCAGAGGAGCGAGGGTGGGGGTGGACAGCCCTAGGTCCCAGGGGTGTCCCTGGCAAAAGGCCATGTCTTCTATATCAGAGCAGGGATTGTACATAATAGATTTTACTGAGGTTTAGAGAAGCTGTATTGTGGGTGGTGTCAGTTGGACCAAGTAACCATTCTCTTGGTGTAGTGTCCAAATTCTTCAGTCTCTGTTGGGGTGTGGGTCCTCTCTTTTGAGTCCTCCACTCCTTCTAGGCTATAGAAACCTGATTATAGTTTTGGAGCTTCACCTACTCATTGAACTGCAAGGTGTGGCTCTCTTGCCTGATTGCACTGGAGGTAAGGTAGTCAGTCCAATTTTTTTCTCCTGAAGCTGTTTATTCTTTCACTTCCCTAAGATGTGTGTTAGCTCTGTGCTGGTTTCCTTGTTCTTCTGTGGGTGAGAATGCTGGAATCCATGGTGATGGTCTGGGGTTCTGAGTTCTCTCATTTTGCTTCTCCAGAAGGGATTCTGGGAAGAAGTCATTCAGAACTTCAACAGCTTCAGGGAGATGACTCCTCCCTGTTTTTAGAAGTAGAAGCCATGCATCGTGTAAGTTTTTGCTGGCCTGGTTTCTCTCTGTGTGGGCTGGTTGTGGGCAGTAGCCACTGACTGGGTATCTGTGGTCAGTGGAAGTCACAGTAGGCCCTCTTCTCAATCAGTGGCCAAGTTCTCCTGATTTATCCCAATCTCTCTGGTCCAGATGCAGCCAGGGACTGAGCCAGGGTCCTGAGCAGGGAGGCTGAATGTAGAGTAGTACCTGGTACATGGTGGGCACAGGTACTGGCAAGTGGAATGGGTACTAGCTAGGGAAGGCAACATGGGCATACAGTCTGTGTTCAGCAAGAAGATAGTACCCTATATATATTGTTAAATGTTTGTCTACTGAATGCACTTGAAATTTTTATTAAGATTCATTGAAACTACAAGCCATTTGGGAAAAATTGAGAGATTTCCAACATTAAATCTTCCAATCTTTGAACATAAAGTGCCACTTTATTTATTTAAGTCTCATCATCTTGAAGCAAAATTTTACTATTTTATCTAGAGTTTTAAACATCTCTTGCTACATTCATCTCTAAGTTCTTAATATTTGTTGATTATATATTTTTAGAAATTTTCACGTTGTTTGTTGCTGCTGGACTTAGTTCAACTTATTTTTGTATACCAATTTTTGCAGTGAGCACACTTTAAGTATCGTACTCACTTTTAAAAAGTTGTAGATTTTTAACCATTTTCTACAAATACAATTATATTATCTGATATTATCAGTTTTGACTTGAAAAGAATTGATAGAAACCCTCTTTTCCCAATCTAAAGATTAAGTATCCAGAGATTCACATGTTTACTGCAGATGTTTAGTAGAAACCTTTAATTAGATTGATAAAGTGTCCTTTATAACTTAAAAGCAATTTCAACACGAATGGATATTTAATATTTAGCAAACACTTTTTCTGCATCTAAAATGATTAAGTCTTCTTTAATTTAATTATATGCTGGGTCATAGTAATTGACTTTCTAATGTAAAAACAACTTTGAAATCCTGTCACACACTTGACCAGTTCATGATGAATCATTCTTTGCTGGAACTGCTAGTACTTGCTTAAGATTTTGTATCTATATTACTAAGTGAAATTGGTCAGTATTTTCCTTTCTCAAACTTCATTTGGTATCAGGTATATGCTGGTCTCATAAAATGAGTTACAGAGCATCTTTTTTCTTCTATTCTCTAGAAGTGCTTAGTGTAAAACTATTAATTTCTTGACTATTTGGTGGTACTCATCAAAAAAGCTGGTTAGGCCCTCAATTTTCTTCCTTGGATTATTTTTAATTTAGTTCAATTACTTTAATGTCCATAGACTATTCTTTTATCTATTCTGGTAAGCAATATTTTTCTAAAAAATACACCTATTTCTTCCTCATGTTACAAATTTATTGGCAATAGGTTGTTCAAAATATCATTTAATGTCACAATAGAAATTGGGAAGTCCAAGATCAAGGTGCCAGAAGATTCAGTGTCTGATGAAGGCTCACTTTCTGGTTCAGGAACAGTTATCCTTTCATTGTGTCGTTATATGGTGGAGGAGCCAGATGTCTCTTTAGTTCCTCTTTTATAATGACATGATCCCATTCATGAGGGCACTGCCTTCATGACCTAGTCACTTCCCTACTTCCTAATAACACCACATAAGGGATTCAGTTTTAACATATGAATTAAGATGAAGCACAAACATTCAAATCACACCAATAACTAAAGATAGAAGTCGTTTTACTTGTAATAAATGTTTTATGATGTGAATGAGTTTACCATTTCATTTTCTCTTTAATTTATAAATCAACTGAAGTACAGGAAAAACTTTTAAAAAAATTTTTGAGAGAGATTTTTTTTTTTCTATAGGGTGCATGCACTCACAGAAAAGACAGAGACAGAAAGTGAGAAATCACTTCCCAGGGGGAATGGCCATGCCTCAATCTTCTTCTCTTGGGATTTTGGGCACACATGCACACACATCCAGCCTCAGTTTCAAGCTGCTGTGACAGAGGCCATACAGCTAACACAGGCAAAACATAAAGAGCTATCTCTCATGCTTAAGCAAGGCTTGGCTGAGAAAAAGCTGTACGCTAACAGCTCAAGGTTCCAACTGTGTTTGCAGTGCTGGTTTGCGCTTTCAATCTCCGTGCCATGGGCTTTACTGTCATCACGGTACCCCGTAAGGGTGAAATAACATCCCCAGCCTTACTGTAACTTTTACAATTAATAATCCTAAGAGAATGAGTATCCCTAAGGCAGAGGTGAATGGGAATTAGACTCACCCCACCGGCCTGGAAAATAACAATAAACAATACTGAAGTCCCTCTCAGGTTCACATGTACATAATAACCTTTCGGTTAGTCATTAAGCTGCTCACAAGACCTCAATTCCTTCCCCATGTGAGCAAAAGGCTCACCCTCTTAGCTCTAAATTACCCCAGAAACAATATAGATGTTCCATTTTAGTATATATTAACCATGTCTTTACTTAATCAAATAAGATTTCTATCTAGGCCTTTGTAACCACAATCTGATACCGCCCCGACCTGGGACTGAAGTTACCAAGCTTGCTGAAAACCCCCTCATTCAAAAGGCCCTACCCAGCAATCAAGACCTAAGAAAAACTGTACCGGACGAATGGACTCTCTTGCCCTGAGCTGTAACTGCTTTTACCTGATCAGACAAGAACGGTACATCATGTGTTATGATTATTGTTTCCATGTTTTAAATACCCTTTTCTTTAGAGTAAAATCTTTTACATCCTCCTCACCCCTCCAACCCTTGTAAACATCCCTCAATAAATATGTATAATTACTGGCCATAGATGCTGCAGTCTTGAGCGTGCTCTGACTGTAGTCGGCTGAGAACATGCTAAACAGCATCGAGGTCTCAGTCTGATTTTTCTCACCTGTGTCGCCTCCGTCAGGTCAGCCCACCCAGGCTGGAACAGGCCTCTGGCACTGCTGGGTCCAGGACTTGAACCATGGTCAACCACATGAGAGTCCACCACCTTAACCACTACATCACCTGCTGACACAAGAAGATGTTTTTAATCTCCCTAACCACTGGGCAAAAAGTGAAATTCTCAAGATAACTATAAATTATTTAATTTAAAGGACCATCTACTATTATCTTAAAGCTTCTCTTTAATCTTTCATTGTGAATTAACAGTGACTGAGGGAGAAGGGGATTTCCAAAACAATAATCAAGTACATATTAAAGTAGAAATAAAGCTTTTATAATTGTTATATATTTCATAATAACTTTGTTGAAATTCTACATTTATCATGATATACCTATCTGATGAAGCAGAAGAAAAGCTATGAGGCTAATGCTTGAACAAGAACAGCAGTTAAGGGGGGCCAGCAGGTGGCATGGTGGTTAAGGAAGCTGGGTTACAACATGGCCAACCACAGTTCAAGTCTTGGACCTGGTTGGTTGTTTTCTCACTTTCTTTCTCTCTCTCTCCCCCTCTCCCTCTCTGGTCAAATTAAAATACACAAAAGTAAATAAAGTTAAATAATTTTAAAAAATGAGTAGCACTTATGGGGCCAGTAGGTGGCACAGAGATTAAGGTGCTGGATTCCCATATGGCTGACTATGGTTCAAGTGCTGGACCTGGTGGCTTGCTTTCTTATTTTCCCTCTTTCTCTCTGGTGAGCACACATGCCCTGTAGCAAATTTTAAAATAATAATAAATAAAAGTATATAAATAATTCTTTTAAAAGTAGCATTTAAAACAAATTTACATATAAAATATTTTCAGTAAATAAAATTCCAGAAGTTTGTCCATTCTAAGCCATTCTTTTATTCCCCAAATCAAATTTCATCCAGCAAGTACTGTTATACCAATGATGTTATAAAGTTTTTGAGTTGTCTATTACTGATCCTGATCCATATACTGCATTCATAACATCAAATGATAAAATAATCTCATTAACACCAGGTATCATGAAAGGCTCAAAGCTGAAATAATACCTTTTAAAAAAACAGTGACAGCTAAAATTAAGTTACTCTGTATTTTACATGTTTTGTTAAGCTTTATTGTGTACACTAAAATTTTGATTTGGTAGACTCAGTAATACTAAATTGCTTATTCGGTTTAGTGGCTTCTTGCATCAACTTTTGTAAATGTCCAATTTGTTCATCACGGAAGTCATTAAGTTTTTCTTCTGAAAGGAAGGTGCCAAAAAGTGCTTTTTCAGTTGAATTCTGTCTTTTTTCATTAGCTTGTTGCCACAACACTGCTGCATACACCTAGTAAAAGGAGAAAAAGAAATAAAGGCTATAATGTTAAAATAATACCTATGTTCAATAATTTAATGTTGGAGGACTTAAAGAATTGTAATTCTAAATAACTTATTTTTCTCTATCACTAAACCTTCTGCATTTGCCTATAAAGAAATAAACAACATAGTGTGTCTTTATATTCAGAGATAATTTTAAATACAAGGGAACTTCAAAAAGTTTGTAGAAAAATAGAATTGAAGTCTGAGTTTATATTATGATGTAAAAACAAACTTTGAAATTCATGCAGTTTTTTTCAAAATATGTGTTTATCATGAAATTTCTGAAGACCCCTTCAATGTATTAGGTTGTTAGACAAGTCATGACAAATTTTATCTATGTTTGTCTATGCAAAAAAATGTGTCATGACTTGTCTAACAACCCAGTATCTTATTTTTAACACCATACATTATAACAGACTTTTAACAATGTTATTAACCTGGAAACTAGTGAGGAAGGGATGGTAGGCATATAGATAGGCTTGAGGAGAATACATAAACCACCCAAAACCATATGTAAAACTGTGTGTGTAGAGAAGTGTCCACATACTTCCGGGGCCATGTCTTTCATCAGCTTTTCAAAAAGGAGCTCTAAGACTTAAAAATTGGTCTTAAAATTCATTAACTACATTCTCTTGTTTTCAATGAAAAACACACTAGAGAGACCATTTTAAACCTTTACACCTTCAACATGTTACAACTACCAAAAGTTGTTACATTTTGGGGACCAGCAGTTAGCGTAATGGCTATGTTGCTGGACTCCCACATGGTCGATCACGGTTCGAGTCCCGGACCCGGTGGCTTAAATTCACACTGGGTGCATGTGCTTGTGTGCCCAAGATCCCAAGAAGAAAATGGAGGAGAAGCTATTGCAGCGTGGCCATCCCCCCTAGGGGGTGATTTCTCGCTTTCTGTCTCTCTGTCTCTGTCTTCCTGGTGAGAACACGCGCCTTATAGCAAAAAACTCTCCAAAAAAAAAAAAAAAAGAAAAAAACTTATTTTTCATGTAATTTCGTTCATGTTCAGTCAGCACACCAGCCTAATATTCTAACCCTCAGAATATAGACAAGTGCTATTTTTTTCTAAATACTCATGTTAAAATTAATCTTTTTAGCAGTCAGAAACTATAATTGTATTTCTGTTCATGAAATTAAAGATTACATGTACACTCAGGGTAAGCGAATGAATTTGTTAACTCTGAATAATGCTGCTAACTCAGCCTAGCTTGAGATATCTCAGTTTTTCGTAATTGCTCAATTGCTAGCATCGCCAAAGACGCTTTCATTTTCATTCTAAACCATCACTTATATTGGAAATTATAGTATCTTTATGTTTTATAAAAATTTATTTCATATAAGAATAAAACAAAAACACCATACATATTATAAACTGTATTTATTCCACCTCTAAGTATATATGCCTTAAAGCAGTTTCTCAACCTTAGCATTACTTTGGATAATTTGGGCAACTGTTTTGGGGTGGATAGGAGTCTATTTGTGCATTACAGTATGTAGCAGCATCTCTAATCTAACCATTAGCTACCAGTAGCACCCTTCCCTTAAAACTTGACAATCAGGGGACAAGTAGATGGTGTAATGGTTACATCACTGGACCCCCATGTAGTTGACGGCAGGTCAAATCCTGGACCTGGCAACTTAAAACTCACACCAGGGTTGTGTGCGTGCATGCCCAAGATCCAAAGAGGAGAATGGAAGAGAAGAAATAGTGGCATGGCCATCTCCCTGATGGGGTTATTTCTCACTTTTTGTCTCTCTGTCTCTCCAGTGAACACATGCACCCTAGAACAAAAATCTCTTGCAAAATAAATAAATAAATAAAACTTCATAATCAGGGCCAGCAGGTGGCATACTGGTTTAGGCACTGGACTGCCACATGGCTGAACACAGTTCAAATCTCAAACCTGGCAACTTGCTTTCCCATTCTCTCACTCTCTCTCATGAGTGCATGTGCCCTGTGGCAAATTTAAAAATTAAATAAAAATTATAAATAAAACTTGATAATCAGAACTATCTCCAAACATTGTCAAATATTCCCTGATTGAAAACTACTATCCTAAGAAACTTTTAAATGTGAACAAGTAACATACACATGAATGTGCATTCTTGTTAAAGCAATGTGTTCTTGAAACAAATCGCTGGAAATCAATTATACACCAATAGGAGTAACAACAAATATACTGAAATGAATTCAGTATACTTCTGAATAAAGTATCAGCAATTGACCTAAATGTCCATGTGCCAAAGTGGATGAACCTGAAAAAAAAAAAAAAAAAAAAAAAAAAAACAACTCAAAAAGTACTTACAGAGATGAAAAGTTGATACTGAAATTCACATGAGAATGTCAGAGCCACAAACAATCTTGAACAAGAATAACAAAATTAGATGACTCCAACTTTCCAATATCAAAACTTATAACAAAGCTACAGTAACTAAACTGTGTGGAACTGGCATTAGGATAGACACCTAACATCAAGAGAAGTGATCTGAGGGCCAGCAGGTTGTATAGTCCTTAAAGTGTTTACTCCCATATGGCTGATCACAGTTTGAGTCCCAGACCCGGCGGCTTGAGTGCCCAAATTGTGGTATGGCCATCCTTGGGGGTGGGAAGATCCATTTTCTCATTTTCTGCCTCTCTGTCTCTCTCTGTCTCTCCGGCAAGTGCATGCACCCTATAGCAAAAAATCTCTCTTAAAAAAGAGAACTGGGAACCAGCAGTTAACGTAATGGCTATGTCGCTGGACTCCCACGTAGTTGACCGCGGGTCAAGTCCGGGACCCGGTGGCTTAAAACTCACACCGGGCGCGTGTGCATGCGTGCCCAAGATCCCGAGAGGAGAATGGAGAAGAAGGGATTGCAGCGTGACCATCCCCCCGGGGGGGTGATTTCTTGCTTTCTGTCTCTCTGTCTCTCTCTGTCTGACGAGCGTACAAGTCCTATAGCAAAAACCTCTAAAAAAAAAAAAAAGAGAGAGAGAGAGAGAGAAGTGATCTGAGAATGCAAAAATAAACTTTTGTGTGTATGACAAATTGGTTTTCAATAAGTGTCAAGTCTATTCAATGGAGAAATAGACTCTTCAAATGGTGCTGAGAAAACTGGATTTTAATTCCACTTTTAATATTTTACTTTTTTTAAAAGAGTGATCTAAAATAAATACTGCAAAATGTCAATGTTTGTTAAACCTGGATGGTAGACACACTAATGTCGTCTCCCTCTTTTGTTCTTTCCTATATTTTCAGATTTTTTAAAAACAATTTATTTGTGGGACCAGCAGTTAGTGTAATGGCTATGTCGCTGGACTCCCATGTAGTTGACCTCAGTTTGAGTCCCGGACCTGGTGGCTGAAATTCACAGTGTGCATGTGTGCCCAAGATCCAGAGAGGAGAGTGGAGGAGAAGGGATTGTGTCGTGGCCATCCCCCCTGAGGGGTGAATTCGGGTGACTTCTTACTTTCTGTCTCTCTGTCTCTCTCTGTCTTCCTGGTGAGCACATGCATCCTATAGCAAAAACCTCTCCCCCCAAAAAAATTATTTGTTAGAGGATTATTTTACACTTTTTAATTGTCAGAGAGCATGTGCACCGAGAGAGAGAAAATAGCACTCTTTTTTTTTTCTTTGGAGAGGATTTTGCTATAGGGTGTGTGCATTCGTCAGAAAGACAGAGAAAGACAACAAGCAAGAAATCAACCCCCAGTGGGGATGGCCACGCCGCAATCCCTTCCCCATTCTCCTCTCAGGATCTTGGGCATGCACACACACGTGCCCAGCATGAGTTTAAGCCACCACAGCCAAAACTTGAACAGCTGTCGACTACATGGGAGTCTAGCAACACAGTCATTATGCCAACTGCTGGTCCCGAAAATACCAGTCTTAATGGGGCACAGTCAAGCTTCCTACAATCCTTTTTCTTCCCATCAGGATTTGGGACATTCACACATACCCAGCATGTTTTTATAAGCCAGTGGTGCTGGGATTCAAATCATATCAGCTATGTGAGCTACAACTCCCAGGGCAGAGCACTGATCTACTGCACCATATAATAGCCAAACATTTCTCATAATTTTAAACATATATTTAGGTATGTTTAACTTCAAAAGTCACTTGAAGTATAATTCATAATAATTAAGGTGACAATCTAATGTTTTTCTAGGAGACTACAAATACATTTAACACTTGCATAACAGATGATCAATGAATACTTAGGGTAGAAAAGAAAGACTACTGGGACCAGCAGTTGGCATAATGGCAATGTTGCTGGACTCCCATGTAGTCGACTGCGGTTTGAGTCCTGGACCTGGTGGCTTAAACTCACTCTAGGTGCGTGCGTGTGTGCCCAAGATTCCGAGAGGAGGATGGAGGAGAAGGGACTGTGGCTTGGCCATCCCCACTGTAGGTTGATTCCTTGCTTTCTGTCTCTCTCTGTCTTTCTGGAGAGCGCACATGCCCAAAGAAAAGACTATTACAAAAAGAAAAAAATTAAAGTCCGCCTACTGCCACTAACCATGGCTTACTGGTCTTTGCCACCCATATACTTTTTTTTTTTTGGAGAGATTTTCACTATAGGCCGCATGCGCTCACAAGACAGACAGAGAGACACAGAGACAGAATGCGAGAAATAACCCCCCGGGGGGATGGTCACGCCGTAATCCCTTCTCCTCCATTCTCCTCTCGGGATCTTGGGCATGCACGCACACGTACCCGGCGTGAGTTTAAGCCACCGGGTCCTGGACGTGAACCGTGGTAGACTACGTGGGAGTCCAGCGACATAGCCATTATGCTAACTGCTGGTTCCCACCACCCATACACTTTTATTAACTTCTACCTGAAGTTATAAGGGACAGACTTTGCTCCCAGCCCCAGATCACAGACACGCACATGCCCATGATCTCTGTACTTAAACCAGAAACCTTCCCATATGGGTTTGCCTCACAGAACATCACATTCTACCACTGCAC